TTCTATCTTTATTACCACAAGAAAAGGGAACAGAATGATCTTGGGCTATTTGCTGTTCATCTATGCATTCTCTTTCCACTTTCAGTTTTTTCTAGTTCATCAAAAAGCATTCAGTAATACATTGGACTAACATATTTGCTCAGTGTTACTCTGTCATAATTTAGCTTAGAAAATCTTTTTACTGGGATGGGGTTCCAGAAATGCAGTCAAGAGGAAATAGTTTATTATGTTTTTTGAATGTGTACTATTTTTGCCACTGACAGGAAATATATTTGGAACGAGTTGCATTTTCCTTCCAATACTTTAAACCAAATTTTCTTTAGAGATGTTTGAGCTATTGGTTTTACTTCTTGTCTCTTAAGCGGGATTATTTCCTGTTGTTTTAAATTTTGGAGGGTGTGTGTGTTGCGGGGGGGTGTTGAATGGCACGTTTGACTTCATCAGGGATTATGTAAAACCTGATGGTAAGAGATGGTTCTAATAGAGTGCTGGACTGACTGGGAGTCTGGAATCTCTGATTCCACCCTCAGCTCTGCCACTAAGCTTCTGGGTGGCTTTGGGTAAGTCACTTATTTACATACTCCTCATCGATAAGATGGGATAATGCTACTGACAACAGTGTTTTGAGATCAGTGGATAGAATGTAATATAAGAACTGTGGTGTTGTTATTTTTGCAAAGACATCACACTCCCAACAATTCATATGCACCACTAGATCATACCTTTTGTTGGCTTAACTTCATAATTTCTAGGTGGGGTTTGCAAAAGGGTCTTTTCATTCCACAGTAGTATTAGAACTCAGTAAAAAGCTTTAGCCACAAATTATGAAACTCTAATTTTTTATGCATCCCAGGTGAATTCCAGTCAATACATATTACTATATAAAGAAGTATATATTTAAGCAATAACAATATAGGCACAGTGTACTTCCTGGACACAAAAAGCTGACTAGCTAAATGTTGATGGCCTAAGAAGTGACTAAGGACATTACTGTAAAACTGAACATGAAAAGCTATAAACGTATGATTTTTTGCATGGTTCAGTCAGTTTCAGTTGTGTGCATCTAGAATATTAATTCACTATATAAAATTAATTTGATTATATTGATTATGTCTCAGAATTAACATTTATATTATCAGCTTTCTTTATGCAATTGCTATGCACACTTCTTACTTCATGGAGATTGTGCAGAATAAATTCTAATGTCTAATTTTGGACTTCTCCAAGTATTCCAGTAGTTTCCGTGCTCAGCTTCATAGTTCAGCTGACATAGCTGGTATGATTTAATTTTTGAAAGATGTTCTTGCTGCAGAATACCTACTACCTGCTGTCCACTTACTGATTCTAGTTAATTGCATTCACCGGTCCTGAAGGGAATATTTTTCATTCTTTCAGGTTTTCCAGACACAATGAGAACTTTCAAGGTTCTACAGCAGTGGTCACCAACCAGTGGATCTCGATTAACTGGTAGAACCTGGAGCCTCTTGGAGTCAATCTGAGGCGGGCTGGGGGTGCTGAGTGCCCACATGCATGCACGCATGCCCGCAGTCCAGCAGGTCAGTTTGTGGGGGAGGGAAGGGGCGGGGGCTAGATTGAGGCTGCCGAGGTGAGGGACAGTGCCACAGGGGCAGGAGCAGGGGTAAGTTGAGTGAGGCCCCGGCCAGGAGAGACTTACCTGCTGGGGAGACGCATCCCTAACAATTTTTTTCTCCCTCTGCCTCGATCCACAGACTTACCTGCTGGTTGGGGGGCGGGGAGATGGCGGCAGTGCTCGGTAGATCTTGGATTGCTTTTAAATGCCAAAGGTGTTCTCCTACTTAAAAAGACTGGAGATCACTGTTCTACAGGTTGATTCCTCTGTGGACACTCTCCTGCTTTCATGAGAAGTCATTTGTCAGGGTACACGGGGCCAGCTTCTCATGTTGAATGAATGCTGCACTTCACTCTTATTTTTATACTAGAGCTTTAAAATATGTTGTCCTTCTTTGTTGTGAGGTGCTTACATGAATTGTTACAGTGACATGGGACACAACAAACAGTAAATGGACAGTGGTATTTAGCAGGTGTTTAGTTCATTCTGTAGTAAGCAAGGTTTTTCTTTACAGACATATATTTTACTAACGCTTCTTGGAAAGGAAGTCTGAAATTTGTTGCCCTAATGAGCTTAATCAAAATTATAACTGTGTCTATTGTAGAGGCATTATTCAGTTCTACAAGGGTTAGCAATATCAGGAACTCTGATAGAGCCAGGCTGCCAGTTGTTTGAATGGTATTATATATCCCACCTCAGAACAGGTTTAAAACATACAACACAATGTCAACTCTTGGGTTTCCTACGCAGTTAAATTCAATGGAACCTGCACTAGCCATCAGTATTACTAATATTTTGGTCAGATTCTCTTGTGAAGACATACCCACTACAGATAGTGGGTAGCAACAATTCATGCAGTCATACTAGCACTAAAAAACATTAAACTAAAGTTGTAGAGCAGATCAAACCATGTTCAACTCCATTTCAAAGACTGGGATTGAGAGGACCCTTTTAGATGTGCAGGTAAAGGCATGATAGGATCTGATGTGCAATCCACACAATTGCACCTTCTGCTATGCTGCAGGTACATGGCAGAAGGTGTGATTGTGGGATCCAGCATCAGTTCCCATCACGCTTATTGATGGTGCAGGGGGAGCCCAGGATCATGATGCTCGGATCTATCTGTAGCAGCAAGTAGGAAGTTCCCATGGCTGGTAGCCCCCTCAGCTGACAGGGCTCCCTGCCTCAGGGGTGCACTATGCACTCCCACAGCCAGGAGCCTGAAGCTGATGGGGCTCCAAGCTGTGGGTGTGCATCATGTGCTCCCATGGCTGGGAGTCCCATCAACTGATCTGGGCTCCCAGCCATGAGGGTGCACCATGCAGCCCTGCAGCTGGAAGTCCTGTCAGCTGATCTATCCCCATGGATCAGCTGGTACACCCCATAGTTTGGATCAAGGATCAGCTGATAGGGCCGACAGCTACAGGGGGCACGTGGTCAAACATTTAATTAATGGCATCATAGGAAAAAGTCACAAAGTTATTACACATTTTTTGTGGAACTCCATTTTTTGTGGCTTATTCCTTGTTTTATGATACCATTAATTATTTTAACGTGTTGCTGGATTACAATGTAACTGATTAATCATGCAGGGGCCATAGGTGAACACTAACCACCCTATGCACTATTTTTAAATTTACTTTGTGATGGGGGGAAGATTTCTAAATAAAATAAACTCATGAACATTATAAAAAACCCCAGCACCTTTTGTAGAGGGCAACAAGAATAAACACAGAAACAGAGATGTCACACCCTACGTTGGGCATAATACATTAAAAAGATGAGTCAACTCATCACTTAAAAACAGACACTTGGGGACTTGACTTTTGATAAATGTTAGCAAATTAATCCTTGTTGGTGTTAAACATAGCTAAGCACTCTATTGGGAACCTTCAACTGAATTATCATGTTCTGTAGGTAGAACACAATAATAATACATTTAAAAGCTGTCTGTATTGAAGCAAACGAGTACACTTCACTGTTTTGCCAGGCTGAAGCCAGTCTATAACAGCAGAGGGATTTGAACTCTCAAAGCTCTGACAATAGCTGGCTTTTCAGCCAGCACTTTTTTAGTTAAGACTTTGTTTCATTTCCTGTTACTGTAGAGTCTGGTTATTTCCTTTGTGTGCTCATTAGGCCTTGCATACATAATTAAATCATGCTCATTAGAGATTCCAGAATGCACCACCAGTATCTACATTGGACTTTGACTTAGGTGATAAATGTTTTTTATTTTTATTTTTTGCCCATATCAAACCAAGGCAAGTCTGACCCTTCACCCAGGGCTGTAAAGTAGAACTGGTTGTAGACCTAAGGTGATTCTACTGTGCAATGGAAGGGACACCTGAAGTGAGGGGATAAAGCTCCTCCACATGAGAGCTCACCGTGTAGGAACACAAAGGGGGCAGATGGGCAAAAGGGGCAGAGGTGGATGGGCCAAAGGACCCACTGCTGTGCAGATTCCCCGAGTCTAGAAACCTCATGGGAATCAGGTTGAAGGAAGTGGCCCACAGAGCATTAATTCAGCCACTGAACTGAAGCAGTGTCTGTTGGTCTGCTTTGCAGTTGGAGGGTGAGATTTCTCATCTCAGTCCTCTGTGTATGTACCCACTGCCAAGCAGAGGCACTCTGCCTGGGAACAGGCTGAAAACTTGGCTCAGTGTGTATATTTATTTATTGAATTTGCTGGTGCTTTTTGCAAAGCAATGCATTTTACAGAATTACAAACCTAATCCATCTAGTGGGTTCCAATAAAATTAACCCATCTGTCACTCTCTCCTACAGTAACTCAGTTTTAGGATTTGAAATGAAGAAGATAATTTATTCAGTTGAAATGTTTGGGAAAATCAGTAAGTTGAAAGTTGGCTGGAACACCAAGACTAACACCTTAACTGTTGAGGAAATGTGCTAGTTGGCTATGCTCTGCAGTGTTGTGTTCAAAGGCAGCTGCTTGATTGTTACTTCAGTGCCTGGCTTTGTTCAGAATATACATGGCGAGCTGGAAATGGGGAAGGGCAGGGATATTTTGAATGGAGAGTTAATCCAGAAATAAAAAGAGTAATAAAGAATTTAAAGAATTCCCGGCCATATGAGATGAGATGTCTTATGTGATGCCTAAGGATTACAGGTAAAATGCTATAAAAAGCTATAAATGATATATGGTTGATAAATGGAAGTCCATCCTCTTGTGGTCACTGGAGAGGTTACATCACTTGCCTGAGTTCAGAACAGTTCGTGAAACCGTAAGGAATAGAACCCATTACTTAGTTACTTGAATTGAAACAAGAACCCCGTGCATCTCCAGAACTAAGCCTAAGTATATTCCAGAACTGTTTTTTAGATCAATGAGCCATTTTGTTAAATCCAGTCAGTCTGGATTTCAGATTCTACAGTTAGTCCTTGTTTAACAGTGAAGACTTCCTATGATAAAATCACTCATGAATCCCAGCCTTGTCTGAAGAATTAAAATGAATAAACTTCCATTTCATCTACTTACCTTGCAACAAAATTGCATCATTTCAGTTCATTGAAATTAATGAGAGTTGGAATAGGGTTTGATTCAATAATAAAAAGACCTGTGTTGCTTCACTGTTAAGCAAGGATAAAGCTTTATGTGACTAGAAACCACTTATTTAGTCATTTATTAGCAAACATGTACCTCATTCTCCTAAAAGCATGCAGAATGCTCTGGATCCAACATTCTCAGCAAACACTTAATTGGCGGCTTTCTTTTAATGGCATTTGCATTCTCTTTAAGGTGTGATAGACTGGCTTTTACCAAAGATTTATGTTAATAATGAAAACCAGAATGTTAAATCGAGATATAATCAAATTTTCATGCAGCCAAAGGACACCTGTAGTTTATTTTCACTTAATACAATTCTGAGGTAGTTATTACACTCAAGGGATTTTTTTTTTAGAATAGGTGATAACTTTCCAGTGTTGTCCTTGTTTCACAGGGATAATAGTTTATCAGTTCTTCCTGTAGATCAGTGTTTCTAAACCTGTGGATTGTGACCCAAAAGTGGGTTGTAAGAATATAGAATCATAGAATCAATGAATCAGAAGGGACCTAGACAGATCA